ATATGATACAATATTACATTGTGATGATTGTATTATATTTGTATTTCTAAGTAACCTGATAACCCTGTTAAAGTGCAGAAGATATATTTTGATTATAATGTTCAATATTTCTCGCGAAAATTTGAATTTTATTCATCTTTTCTTTCTATGTATAGGGTGAAAAGGGTTTATGCAAGTTTAAATTTTCAGCTACAGTCCAAATAAAAAAAAAAAAATTGAAAAACGAAATTGTTTTACATTTTATTATTTTTATTTATTTTTATTTTATTTTTATTTATTTATTTATTTATTTATTTATTTTTTTTTTTTTTTTTTTTGCTAAGATCGCAAAACAGGGGCCGCAGAAATGTCAAAATTCTTTTAGTCAAACAAACCCGGGATTACCACATTTGGCGAATTATCACTCAGTTGGCGCCACACATATCGCTTATGATATGTTGATAGCCATCGATTCTTATGCAATTTAATGAACTATATAAAAATATACAATTTAAACTTTCACTTTAATGACATTAGTTAATTGGCTTTTTAGCAGATATTTTATAAATGATAGTTTAACCAAACAGTTTTACCAAGTAATATCAAAAATAAATAAATTTTTGCGCTAAATTGAGAATAAAGATAATAATTATAGAAATATATAAAACATTAAAGTTTATATGTCATTATTCTTAACGAAACTTGTAAATTAAAACTCTCTTTTTAATAATTAATTAAAATGATTAACTCACATAATTAGTTGAAATTTATCAATATCCTTTCAGGTAATTCCCATTCATAATAACTATAAATTCATTTATTTTTCCTATGTAGTTAATTATATACAATCTGCTTAAAAGACTAATCGGTTTTGAATTTGAGTACTGAATGCATTGAATGAACAAGCTACTTGAAACTATATTTTTCTTTTACACGCGGCAATAATTGTATAACACAGTTTCGTAAATTTCATTAAAAATTATCGAGTCTACTTAATTATTTACGTCCCATATTATTTAAAAATAATTAAATGCATCGTTTAATTTTTAATTTTAACTATGCGTATATCTTTTGAATCGTCGCTAATATTTTGCAAATAACTGAAACTAATTTAAACTACATTTTAAAGTGAAAGAAATTAAGATAATGAAATTTTTAATTGCTTGCAGACATCAGAAATTGCAGAAATTTAACTATTAATATCATCAGTAAACGTTTCCTTATCACTATGAAATTTTTAAAGCGTTTTATTAAATAATTTCACACCACCTTTTGAAAATGTAGTTCAGTTATACAAATAGGTATTATTTTCCCACCAAGTTGTAGTATTATTGTTGTTTGTACGCTTGTTACACATTATTATTGTTTTTACTGTACTTTTTATTATGCATGGCATTTATAACAGATTTAGTAAATAGGAAAATTGGATAATTTTTCACAATTACGAGACGTTTTCGATTAACAAAATCAACTGCACATTTTAAGATTGCTTTTCATATTGTCTTTCAATATATATAAAAAAGATAAATAGGGATTCTGAATTGGTGAATTATTTATTTAATTAGTAATAAGTATAGCCAAAAACATTTAAAATATATATCAATATTTTTATTTTATTTAAGATAATTTATTTTAAATCATAATCAAAGCTTTTCAAGATAACACTTTCATTATCTTTTTCATATTTTCTCAGACATATTTATTTAACCTACTTCAAGTTTTATCTTCATTTGTATTATCACTCTAATTTTACCCATTCTCTTTTGAACAAATACAACAATAGCAAATTTACATTTATATTTATGTTAAATATAAATTTAACTAAGACTAATAATAAAAAATAAAAATTAATGAAATATTTAAAAATTCTGATTTCCTTTTTAATTTCATATTTCATATTTCAAATTCAAAATTCATTATAAAAGATTTATCATGAATTTCTATTTCAAATTTTTGCTCTTGAACTCGGGGCCACAGGTTTCGGGTTCGAGTTCCGGCTTTACCATGGAAGTTTGTAGAGGTTTGGAATTCATTTTAAATTGTAGATCCCGGTCTAATATGACTGTTGTTAGTAGAAATAACAACCCTACCCAGCAAAAAGTCAGTGCCACGGAGACACGTCCGGCTTCCACCTATGGGTGGCTTCAAGAGTTCGTATCATGGCGGTGGTATGGATGTTTGTTAGTGGTTCGGAATCCACGTAATCCAAGGAAACTGTAGATCCCGATCTAATTAGCCTAAAGTGTGCAAATAATGACCGTAGAACTACAAACAACAAAGAAACTGCCCCCTTTCCTCCTTCCATGAGACCACATGGATTCTTGGACTTGGTCAGATGTTAGTTGTCTACCAAGTGGGATAAGAAACAACATGACAAATTTACAAGCAATTGCAAAATTAAAAAATTTTTGCAAAGGTGTCATTTGAAGTTTAGTGAGACAGTCCTTTTCTTGAAATACCTGGAACATCTAAAAAATATGTGATTGTCATCCTGCATTTCACTTTCATTTCAGTTCAGTTGAAATAATCAGCTGAGAAGATACTAAATCTGTTCAAATTGCATGTCCAGTCCTTAACTAAGTAATTTGGTACGGCAGTCTCTTTTCATCTAATAAATATAAATATTTAAAAGATTAGTATTATTTTAAAAAAAAAACTTTAGCATTTCGGACAATGAGTCCAAAATGCTATGCAAGGCCAATTAATGGCCCCTAACCAAACTATGGATCCACCAGTCCATAGTTTGAGGATAGGAAAAAAAGAATAGAAAATAGCTATATATAAATGTACTTTATGCTGATTTTTTTTACATTTATCTAAAGTCATCCTGTGATTGCCATTATATAAAAAAATGTGTTTGCCGGCTATTATCTATCAACATCACATTTAATATATATAAACATATGAAATGCATCAATCTGCCATGTCAAAATATTTGTGAAAATGGCTTAATTTTGTGTGTTTTTCTATATTAGAGATTATCAATTGTAAAAGCAGAGATTCTATATTTCAAGCAAGCAAGGTTCATTCTATATTTGATGATTAATTAATGTAAAAATCATTGAATTTTATTGAATTTTTTTGTTATCATTATAGTTCATTTTAATTTCATTGTGTTTCTATCTATTTGGATGGTACGCGGGGAAATTAACTAAATATGTGCATGCAGAGTTACATTGTATTGATGGTCAATCAGCTATCTTATTGTGATGTTATAATAAAAATATTTTTCTCCGTTCATTACTCTCACTTCTTCGCCTCCAAATACACTGCAAAAAACTATTATTTGAAAATTCATAATATTTAAAAAGGTTAAAAGTTTTCAAATAAAACTGGCTTCTCTCTCTCCCAGAGGAAAAAATTTAATTTGTGAAATTTTTAGTTTAAATCCACTGGATATTTTAATATGGTAAATGGTATAGAAAAACCATTATTTGCTTTCCGTACAAAATTCATAATTTTAGAGGAATTTATAGTCTTATTTTTGAAGGTTAAAGAATGGGTTTAGGAGTCTGATCATAAATGATTAACGCCCTGGCTCTCCGTGCCACTTTAGTGTTCGAGTTCCTGCAGTGCCATGGATGTTTAGTAGTGGTTCCGGAATACACTTTAAACCGTAGGTCGGTATAATAGAATCATAGAGTGTTGCGGGAATAGTGTTACTCCGTCGTAGCCTATTTTGAAGCTACCACACGTACCCTCTTGATAGTGCTAAGTGAGTAATGTCGGTGCAGCCCTTTCAAGGCATAAAGATAAGTGTCTAAGTATTTGCCAGCTGCAGGAAATAAACACGAAAAAAGAAATTTTTAAAAAGCACGTGAAAGAGAATTTAAACAAAATTGAAAGTGATCAAGGGCATGAAAAACAGTAATATATATTTATGGGTAAATTGAATGCCCTAAAGAGGTTGGAGTGTTTGCTACATAATTTACTTATGGATGTTTGTAGTGGTTCCAGAATCACTTTAAGCCGTAAGGTCCCGCTGTAACGTGACTGTAGTGCGTTATAGGAGTTGGCAACTCTAAGCCGTAAAACGATAACATCTCCTGTCTGAAATCTGCTAGTAGCAGACGATCTTTCCCCACCATGGCGTGTTGCGCCATCGAAGAAATAAAAGAGTGTGCATGACTATTTTTATTATTTCAAAAAATAAAAAAATATTACTGAATATTTTATTTTGTTTATTTCTAGACCCATTATCCTTCAGAAAACTAAACTCTTTTCCAGTAAAAAAAAATTTACTAAATTTATTTTGCCTTTAAAAAAGAAGTATGATTAAGAAGTACGAAAGTGAAATTAGAAAATATTTATTTTTTTGACAGAGCTACAATATGTTGCAACATTAGCATTAACTTTTCCGATACACACGTTTTTTATAGCTAGCGAGCGTTCAAGCATCAGAATGACTAAATGCCCCATCTGAGGTCCCATGAATTCCACTTTGGATTAGTGACACACCCCAGCTGTCTGCTACCAATTAACGATTTACATCTTCAAGAGAATGCATTTCCTTCATATTCTTTTTTGACGAACACCTGATCTCAACGAGCTATATTTGATAGAAAACACAATCAATATACTGTCTTCTTTTCTTTGAAACATTATATAAAACTCACATAGGAATATTTGAAAAAGTAATTTACGATATCCATCTAAAATAATCTGTAAACACATCGACACATAAGCAGTAAAATATTAATACACAGTATATATTTAAACCATAAATATGTTGTTGTTGTTTCTTATCCCCACTTGGCTGGCCAAGCCCACGACTGAAGTACGCATGATTGAAGGGGAAGGAAGCAGCTTCTGTTGTGTGATGCGGAGCACCCTTAGGTGAAGTCACGACTTTGGCTTCGTGACGCTCTTACAGTCATAGGAGACCGGGACCTACGGCTTAAGTGGATTCCGAACCACTACAAACATCCATGGCACCATCGGGAATCGAACCCGAAACCTGTGTACCAAGAGCGCCAGAGCGCTAGCCACTCGGCCATTCAGGTCCCAAATGTGTGGAAAATGCCAACGGCGCGGTGTTCCCAGGTGGTCACCACTTAAGTACTGACCGCGCCCAATGATGCTTGACTTCGGTGATCTAACGAGAACCGGTATATTCAGCATGGTGCATGGCCGTTGGTAAATCATAAATATAAAAACACATAGACATTATACTTTTTAACTGTAATACCCGATATACATTTAAAGGGAGCTGATAGTCAGGCAACTAGCACTCTGTGCCACAGAAATTGGGTTCGAGTGCTATCGGTGCATGGATGTTTAGTGGTTCGGAATACATTTTAAACAGTGGGTCTCGGTCTCTTATGACCGTAGAGCGTCCTAGAGCCCAATCAGACTTCTCACTCATCATTCCCAAACTGTAAAGGGACAACTAAGCTCTAGGTAAAGTGATGTGATGTGGTGTGGTGTAGAGTTAACATATCAATATTTAACACACCGACATTTATATCTACTGTAGAAACATATTGCAAAATGTCAGAAATTAAATGCACTAATTTAGATATTAAAAAAATTCACTACATATAAAATATTAAAAAATAAATACACTAAATATAAAATATTTAAAAATAAATGCATTAATATAAAAAAAATTATAAAAAAATGCATTAATATAAAATTAAAAAATAAAAGCACTAATATAAAAATTATAAAACCAATTCTCGTATACAAAATTAAAAATAAATGCAGATATACAAATTAAAAAATAAATACACTAACATAAAGTAAAACTACATAAATAAACAAATAATTTAAGAACGAATTGATAGCAAAAAATGTGCACATTTAATTGGCAAATTCAAATTAATCAAAATTAAAAAATGCCGATAAATATTAAATAAATAATTTAATATCTAATGAAGTAGTGCAATTAAATTAATTCTACAACTACTGCTGGGTTTAATGAATTTAAAGAATAGAAAAAGTTGCTAAACAATATGCCATAAAACCTATGGAGGTTTGAAAAAAACCTATAAATAACCGCTAAACAATAATTATGTATAAATTAAATAAAAAATAATACGCACAGTATATTCTAAGTCAGAAACAATCTTATTTTAAATTGAATTTATTTTATAATTATTATAATTATGTTCTCTCTAAATTGAAATCTTAAATTTTGTAATCCAATTAGAGTTAATTTAAACAGAACAAATAGATTTTTTTTATTTTATTTTTCTTATAAAATAACCACGAATCATTCTTTGAAAAAAAAGCAAATTACAGCAAAATTTTAAAATAAATTTTTTTTTTAAAAAAAATACAGAGATAATTAATTTTAAATAAAATTGAGATTATTCAAAACCTTAAATTTTAAAAAAAAGCAAAATAAGTTTGAATAAAAAAATTAAAGGTTAATATTTATCTTTAATTTCCTTACAAATTTATTATTGTTTTATGATATTGTATTTAAACAAAAAACCTTCAATTAAATTCTGATTACTAATGTTTTTATTTTTAAACCTAAGGGAACACAATAAATAAATTTTGATCATAAGTTTATTCATTTATTTTTTTAAACATCGTAATTTGGTATAATAGTTTTGTTTTAATCATTTTAATTTCACAAAATTTCTTTTTTTATTAAGAATACAATGCTCTTTTAAATATTCTTTTAAATTTTTTTTTACACCCCCAGGCTTAATTTCTTTACAGTTGATTAAATAAATTTTCATAAGTTAGTTTCTTTTTTTATAAAATTTCAACTTTTTTTATTGTTTTCGATATTACATTAATGTTTAAACATTCATATTTAAATATTTTTGATCACTCAATGGTTTAATTATTTGACAATGATTAATTTATAAATTTATTTATTCAGCTACTTTTCGCAATCTATTTTATTCACTAAATGTACAAATAAACAATATACAAAAAAAAATAAATGCACACGTACAAATTAAAAAAAAAAATACTTTTACAAATTAAAAAAAAAAATGCACATACAAAAATTAAAAATAATGCACAATAAAAAAAATAAAAAACAAATACAAATTTAAAAAATAAAAATAAATCCGCATTATACAAATTAAACAAATAAATGTATTAATACAAAAATTAAAAAAATAAATGCAGTAATATAAAAATTAAAAATTGCATAAATAAACAAATTATTAAAAACAAATTGATAAAAAAAATGTCACATTTAATTGGCAATTCAAATTAATCAAAATTTAAAAATGTCGATAAATATTAAATAAATAATTTATATAGAATGAAGCAATGCAATTAAATTAATTGCAACTACTGGGTTTAATGAATTTAAAGAATAGAAAAAGTTGTTAAACAATATGCCATAAAACCTATGGATGTTTAAAAAAAATAAATAATAATTAGGTATAAATGACAATAGAACAAAAAAAAAAAAAAAAATTAATATACGCAACAACATTCCAAGTCAGAAACAATCTTATTTTAAATTGAATTTTATTTTATAATTGTTATAATTATATTCTCTATAAATTGAGATCTTAAATTTTCTAATCCAATTAGGTTAATTTAAACAGAACAACTAGATTTTTTTATTTTTTTTTCAAAATACCCAAGAATCATTCTTTAAAAAAAAAAATTGCGTTACTGTAAAACCACAAATTTTTAAATCAAATGCAATTGAGATAATTAATTTTAAATAAAATGAGATTATTAGCTTCATTTTTTAAAAAGTAGACATGAAAAGAAAATGGAGGTTTCGATATTTATCTTTCTTTCTTACAATTTATTATTGCGATATGCATTTTAAAACTTTTAATTAAATTGTATTATTGATATTATTATTTTTTAAACTAAGGGACAAAATAAGTTTTGATGGTATTAATTTATTTTTTAAACATCGTATCTTGGTATAATATTTAAAGTTTTTATTTTTAAAACCAATATTTATTAAGAATCCATTGCCCTTTTACTTATCATTCTAATTTCTTTACACAAAATTTTTTATAAAAAATTTAATTGTTAATACATATTTTTTGATCTTACATCAATCTTTAAATATTCATATTTTAAATTTTTACTCTCCCAGGTTTAAATTATTTACAAATGATATAGCTGAATAAATTATTTTAATAACTTAATTTCACAATCTTTCTTTGTTATTCACTAAATGCACACATACTCACTAAAAGGACAAAAATTAAGAAAATAAATGCACTCATACAAAAATTAAAAAATAAAAATAATTTAAAAAATTATTGCACTCATGCATAAATTAAACAAATAAATGCACTTATATGAAAATTAAAACTACATAAATAAAAAAATAATTTAAGACAAATAGATAGCAAAAATGTGTTTATTTAATTGGCAACTTAAATTAATCAAAATTAAAAAGCCATATGCATATTAAATAAATAATTTAATATCGAATGAAGCAATGGAATTAAATTAATTGCAACTACTGGGTTTAATGAATTTAAAAGAATAGATGAAAGTTGCTAAACAATATGCCATAAAACCTATGGAGTTTTAAAAAAACCTGTAAATAACCACCAGAAATAGTTACGTATAAATGAAATAAGAAAATAATAATACGCCCGGTGCAATCTAAGTCAGAAACAATCTTATTTTTAAATTGAACTTATTTTATAACTATTATAATTATATTCTCACTAAATTGAGATCTTAAGTTTTCTAATCCAATTAGAGTTGATTTAAACAGAACAATTGGATTTTTTTTTATTTTATTTTTTTTCCGTACAAAATAAATACGAATCATTCTTTAATGAAAATGCGTTACCTCAAATCCACAAATTTTTAAACCAAATGAAATTGAGATAATAATCTCATTTTATTTAAAATTAAATAACTTCATCTTTTAAAAAAGCAGGCATGAGAAAAAAAAAAAATTTAGGTTTCGATATTTATATTTCATTCTTTTATAATTTATTATTGTGTTATGTATTTTTAAAACCATTTAATTAAATTCTATTTCTAATGTTGTTATTGTAAACCAAAGGGAACAAAATAAGTTTTTATCAGATTCATTTTTATTTTTAAACATCGTATTTAGGTATAATATTTAGCGTTTTAATTTTTAAACACCAATATTTATTAAGAATCCAATGCTCTTTTTTCCTTCTTATTCCTTTACACAAATTTTTTTATATAAAATTTTATTTTTTAATAAATGTTTTCCATCTTGCATCAATACTTAAATATTCATATTTAAAATTTTTACACTCCCAGGTTTAATTTTTTTACATATGATGTAGCTCAATATATAAATTTCATAAGTTAATTTCAGAATCATGTTATTCACTCTCTGTCGCTCGATGCCACAGGTTTCGGGTTCAAGACTCGACATTGCCATAGGTTTCTAGAGGTTCGAAATCCACTTTAAACAGTAAGTCCCTGTCTATTATGACTGTAAGAGTTGGTAGTAGGGCTGACAACCCTACGCCGTAAAAAGAAAAACTCCAGTTTCGACATCTGCCAATAGGGCAGATGAAATGATGGATGGGATCGGCATTGGCCCACCATGATGCTATTACGCCAATGATGATGAGAATGTTATTCACTATATGCTCAATTTTCTAATAAAATACTCGGCGTTTAAAAACTATAAAAAAGCCGATAAACTGCTAAAAATACTATTTTATTCACATTCTTGTCGTAGTTCTCAAAGGCATCATTTTGTTTTATGAGATGTTAAGAAAGTTTCTTCCGATTTGAAACATACATTTAAATTGCAGGTATTATACATGAAACATTATCCTTCGATGATTTTTCACCAGTATTTTGCTTTAACTGCATTCCAACACAGTGGCATGAATTTTGGTTAATAATGAGGTAACGCGTCATACTAATTAAGATTTACATAATTAAATACATAATTACACACATCTACAGTTAGAACAAATAACTGTTTGTCACTTATATATGATAGGTTTTGAATAACAGTCTTTTATTATTGCCAGTAAAGAAGCGATGACTTTCTTTTCAGTATAAATGTATCAATGCATAGACAGAGAGTAGATATCCGACAGATACTGGATATGTAGTATTTGCAATTTCAAAATTCGCTGTGGATCGCTAGATTAATGCAGCATTAGGTTACTCTGGTAGCGAGGAAAAAAATTTGGCATTCTCTTTATTGGTTTACTACTTCAATAAATCTTTTG